AAGTCACGCCTTTCCTTGAACATTAGTAAATGTTTTCAACTAACGTACTCTAAAATATCCAATTCTCTGCTTACCAGCTATCATATATCGGCTAACGATCTAAATCGTGCAGATGAGATAAAAGACCTTGGCGTAGTGTTCGATGATCGATTTTCTTTCAATAAACACATTAGCTATGTAACTGCAAAGGCGTATTCTGTTCTAGGCTTTGTAAGACGCAATGCCTCAAAACTCTCGGATCCTTATACATTCAAGTTACTGTATTCGTCATTTGTTCGGTCACATCTCGAATATGCGGTTTTTATTTAGAGGCCGTATAATCAGAATGCTATAAACAGGGTTGAACGTGTTCAAAAAATTTTTCTCAAGTTTGCTCTTCGCTGTCTGAACTTTTCAGACCCCGTGTCGTCATATTCTTCACGTCTTATGCTTCTGAATCTCAAGTCCTTAGAAAGTCGCAGGTCTGTCTTATGTCTTTCGTTTACATATAATATTGTTGATTGTCCGTTTTTGTTAGAGAGGATAAGATTTAATGTCCCCAGGCGATCCCTTAGAAATTTCCTTCCGTTTTATGGTTGTAATGTTAGAACCCAATACGCCAGTAATGCCCCGATTTATCGCGCCATTCGTGAATTTAATGCCATGAATAATGTAGTCGAGGTAGACTTTTCAATCCCAAAGACAGCTTTTTTAAATCTTTTGAATTCCTATTTTTAGCTTTATGAATTATTTTTAGTAGTTCTAATTAATGTTGTACCCTTCTAGTCTGTAATGTTATTATAAAACCATAGACTAAATAAATAAATAAATAAATAAATAAAACATAATAATAAAATCTCTAAACTTTGTGCAAAACTCAGGAAAATTCATTAAAAATGCACACTAATTTGAAACTTTTTATTCAGATTTTTTAGAAAAATTGTAAGTATGCAGTTTTATAGTTCATTCAATTTTAGTACGACAAAATGCAAGTTTAAAGTTGCTAGAAAATCGCATTGATTTTTGGTAATAGTCTATGGTCTTATTTGTTCTTTGTAATAATTATTTGGTATTAATATGTTTTTCGTATTTATAAATATACAGACTCTCTGAAGAAAGCGCGAATATGCGTCGAAACGCATAGGAGAAAAGTAAACACTAGTTTTATTTAATATAACCGGCCAAATAGCTCCCCAGTATGGAAAGAAACTACAGTATATTTTGCTTTGCTGCCTTTGAGCCTAAGTGCACATATAAGATGCGTACCCTAAAATGCGCATCACCGGCATAATTTTTAATATTTATAAGGAAACTGATCCGATAGATGCATTCAACATATCTGCACATTAGCGATACCTGCCTTAAAAATTTGCCACTATTATCAACTTATCAAAGAAATTATTACGTTTACCTGCACTGGTTCTACGCTTACCCTAATTTTACAAGCTTTTATTTATTTTGCTCATCTCGCAGAACAACGAAAAAGGCTATAAGTTTATGTTATCTCTATATCGATAATTAGATACCATCCGGAAAAAATTTCGTTTGCAGTAATTTCTACGTGGTAAGTGCTCCTCCATTATTTGGTTCATAGGGATTCGGATACCTTCCTCATTGAAGTAGTAAAGAAAATTCGTGAAAAAGTGCTTTTTTCGGTTAAGCGCACAACTTTTTCGTGCAAAGAAGGATGGGCAGCTAATCTGACTGATCTGATGAAGATCTGACTTTCTTCCTTGGAACGAACTGTTGACTCTAAAATGGCGATGTCCTAGGCATCAGTCAATTATCCGACCTGCATTTGATTTCAACTTTTTTAAAACACATTTGGCTTAAAGCACTTTAAAGTGAGTCGTTTGATCACGCTTTCGTTCTGCACTTCACAGATGATTTTTCATAAGAAAAACCGAAATTAAAAATTTTCAAAATAAAAATAGCCGCGACCAATAGTAGCAAATATCTTTGCACGCTCTGCTACAGCCATGCATGTAATGTGTTTTCAAATGCTCAGTTTGAATTGTGTGCAAGCAGCAAGTCGATTGTCCGACTCTGCATTTGATTTCAACTACTTTAAAATGCATTTGGCTTAGAGCAATGCAAAGTCTGCATGTTTCTTTTACAGATGATTTTTCATGCTGAAATAGTTAAGTGCCCACAGTTAGATGATTTTACAACTAATATTGAACTATTTGCAAAGATATGTAGCAAAAGTGTAAGCATTTGGTTTATCCCAATGAGGCTGCTAGATGATTATACATCAATTTGAAGTTAGTTGCTGCATAAGCAGAAATAAACTAAGTTTTCTGAGATACTGCCATACTGGATCCATATACAATAGCATGAAATTAATTGCTATGTATGTACTATACATACACTATAGTGCAAAACTGAGTCAGGGTGGTTTGTGTTAAATTTTTGCAAGGGTTTTAAAGATTATTTATTTTTTTTTAAGGAAAATATGGTTCATGCTTTAACCAAAACCATATAAATTAAACCTTCAATTCTTATACATAGCTTTAGAAAATGTTTGTCTAAAAGATACGTAGGTAGATGTGGCTGCCACTGATGCTCAGGGACACACATAGGCCATGAAATGAAGGCCCGTTGTGATACCACGACTAAGAGTTTTCACTCCCCCATGCTAAACCATTTAGAATCCTTGACGAACCTCGCCAGGAA